CACACACACACACACACACACACACACACACACACACACACACACACGAATGGCTATGAACCCAAATCAAATTGCTTTGGCAAGGGAAGATAAGACCATGCTGGTATTCAGGATAACCGGGTCTGTTTGTTTAGGTGGACGGGGGTGGCCAGCACATAACCTACAGTGAAAATCTGCACATGTAAAGGCATCCCTTCCCAAGGAAAGACATTCCAGGTCCTTTTCCTTGAGACAGGGGCTCTCTGTAGCTCTGGCTGGCCTTGAACCCACAGAAACCCACTTTCTGCCTAGCAAGTGCTGGGATTAAAAGCATGCACCACCAGATGACACTTAAGTTTTTTTTTTTTAAGATTTATTTATTTTATGTATATTGAGTGCTGTCAGAATATATGTCTGCATGCCAGATGAGGCCATCAGATCCCAGTACTACGAACTACCATGTGGTCATTGGAAACTGAACTCAGGATCTCTGGAAGAAGAGACTACTGAGCTATATCTTTCTAACCAGATTCAAACTTTACTGGCAGTAATTTCATCCATGACAGAGATAACTAACTTCAACAAGTTTATACTACCACAACTGAAAACATGAAGAGACAATGATTACCAAACTTACCCATAATAATTCTATATACTGTACACACCAAAAATGCTTCTACAGCAAATAAAACCATTAATTTTCATACTTTCAAACTTTACATGATTCAAAACTATTTCTTAATGTTTATTACTTTGTAAGAGGATTAATACGTGTCTCTTCATAAAAAGGCTGAATTTCAAATAATTGGGATCAGAATAAAACAAATATTAGCCATTGGTATTTGGAAAACAAACTAGTATCATTCATTGATAAGAACAATATTTTCCATTTGATAATAACAAGACAAAACCACCATCAACAATAATTTGAACTATGCTAAGTGACATTTAGTTCTTAACTGGATCCCCATTTGAAGGCTGCGAAATGAAAATGGTCATTGGCTCCAAACACAGGAGCACAAGAGAGGCTGCTATACACACACTCTTCAAGTTAGGTAACTGGTCTATTTGAGATACAGCAATCACGATTCTAGCTTGTTTCCCAATTATTGCAGTGTAAAAGTATTCCTATATGCTAATAAAGTCTTATGCCAACAAAATCAGTACAGTGACTAGGAGAAATTTACATGAGACCAGATTTCGCCGTCTTGTAAAGGAAAACCACAGTAAGTTCCATGGCTTATTTCCTCAAAATAGAGCCAATGAGAATAATGTTCCTTATAGATGCTGATTTCCTCAAAAGAAATTTTTATACAAAACAGATACAGGTACAATGGTATAAAATCTGCAAAATCTCAAAATGCCTATTCCTCTAAAATTCATTTTTAAAAAGGCAAAGGAGTTAGATACTTTAATCCTTGCATGCTTCAGAGTAAGATATAAATATACCGTTTAGAATTGATTTTTAGAATTCTATACCATTAAAAAAATCAATATTTTATCTGGCTATAATATTCCTCATTAAACTATATGTATTTTACTCAGAACATTTATATCACTAAAATCACTACCAAACATACAACACAGGAAGGAGTAATTATATTTGAATTTTTTCATATATAACATTTTCTGGTCATAAAATTTATCGCTCTAATGAGAACCATACATTTGCATATTTCTTTTTCTGTTTCTTACACCAAAACAAAATTTAGTGTATCTCTGATGCACTAGTGTACATAAGGTTTTGAATACTTGAGCTTTTCAAAGTGAATTATTTCTATTCTTCCTTCTTAGCAACATACAGTGTAAGAATCCAATTATAGCTTGGACCATGAAGGTGTGCCTCAAATCTTCAAACAACTCTTAGCAGTGTTTCTCAACCTGTCGGTCACAACCACTCTGGGGGTTGAGGGGCTCAACAAAGACCATTAGAAAACACAGATATTTACAGTACAATTTATAACAGTAGCAAAATTACAGTTATAAAGAAGTAAGAAAACTAATTTCATGGTTGGGGGTCACCACAAGATGAGGAACTGTATTGAGAAGTCATGGCATTGGGGAGCCATCTCTTACCCATTAGGAGATTTTACTCTAAATGTTAAGTCCCTAAGCTCAGTGTGGCTTAAAAAGTATATTTTAGAAACCTATGTATTTCTTGATAAAAGGCAAACAACAACAGGCATAAGAGAATGACTGACGTTCCAGCTACTTTGGAAGCAGAAGGCAGGAGGATTTCCTGAACAGAAGAATTTGAAACTAGCTTAAGTAACATAGAGACCTTGTATTTTTGGTGGCTCTTCTGTCCTAGTATCAAAAGTTATGTTGTTACAGCAGGACAAACCAATCTAGGTAATTTCAAATGAGGTTTAAAAAATAACTAGACTAACTAAACTCACAGCATTATGCTTCTAGACTATGTTTCTTTCTTCTTATTTATTTATTTATTTATTTATTTATTTATTTAGGCTTTTTGAGACAGAGTTTCTCTGTATAGCCCTAGCTGGCCTCAAACTCAAAGACCCAACTGCCTCTGCCTCGCAAATGCTGGGATTAAAGGTGTGTGCTACCACGCCTGGCTAGACAATACTTTTAACATAACCAAATAAGAGTTCACATTTTTCTAGAAAATAACTTAAGCTGACAAGAAAGTTTCGCTTTAACATATACACAGCATTTCCGTTGAAGACTACTGGGAAAGCACAGACACTTTACCTGCTTCCTGTGAATTTAACACTTCTAAGGCATGCATCATGGCACTTGCGAAGACATTGGCATCCTCTTTGCTGCCAAAGTTGAGACCATACACCTGTCTAGTATCCCGCCATTGGTGGAAAGTCTGTGTAGCTTGATTGTACTTCAGCCCTTTAGGAATGGCACAGTTTATCACAACCTAAAAGACAATTAACTCATTATAAAGCCAGCTAATAACTGGGAAAATAAAAGAAGCCAACACAAATCCAGATTGTAGGTATTTCTTTAAACTTAATCCTAGAAGACTTTATGAAAACTAATGGGAACAGTTACCTAGAATAAAGGCAAGTCTGTAGAAATGAGTCTGATGGAACATAAGCTATCTTATGTTTACAAATGGCCTGCTTCAAAATAATAAATCAACAAAAGAAAAGCATTGTACTTCATTAAATACACTTTAACTTGTTTGTTGATAAATTATCAATTCAAAGATGGAATATTAACTGTAAAGGCCCCTTTGGACTCCTCCTATCCAGAGTATCTCTAATACTACAAATTAATTTTACAGGATGTTGGATTTGATAAAAACAGAGTCACAGAATCCATGTTGAGAAATATATCTGCCCTCTTTCCTCAAATTCACATTTAAGAGTCATCCACTTATATATCAACCATGGCTTGTTCATCTTCACTGCTCTACTGGGATACATTACCAACCTACACATTCTCTCACTAACATTGTTATTGTCCAGAATCTGTGGCTACTACAAACACTGGCATGAACATCCTATTAAACATCTCCTGGTACACAGTGCATGTTTTTTCTGAACATGAACCCATATTGGACTAGTGTAAATCATAAGTATGTTTAACTTTAGTAGAAAACTCCATTCAGCTTTCTAAATGTGTCCTATCATTTGCCATTCCACAGCTGTATATCAAAGTTTGTATGACTCCATATACTGTGTAGCACTGCCACTGATAGTGTTGGCCTTTCTATATATTTAAAGTAATTCCTGGCCTGGAGAGATGGCTCAGCAGTTAAGAGCACTGACTGCTCTGCCAGGGTTCCTGAGTTCAATTTCCAACAACCACATGGTGGCTCACCACCATCTGTAATGGGATCCGATGCCTTCTTCTAGTGTATGTCTGAAGACAGCTGCACTGTACTCATGTAAATAAAAAATAAATAAATCTTTTAAAGTAATTCCTAAGTTATCATATTAGAAGAGGGCACACAGGTCAGGCATATGTGTGGGGGTCAAATGACAGCTCCGTGGCACTAGTTCTCTCTCCATCTTTATGTAGGCTCTAGGGATAAAACTCAGGTAGCCAGGCTGCACAGCAGGTGCCTTTACCCTCCACACTATCTCACAGGTCTTCTTTTGTGTGTTTTGTTTCAAGATCAATCTTATGTGAATTCCTCATTACATTCATTACTAAAATCTCTGGCCCATTTCTCTCCTAACTGATCTTTTTCTTTACATATGATCCCAAAGGAAAAATGTTTGTGTGACAAATATCTTGCCCCAGTCTGTAACTTTCCTATTCACTGTTAGTGGTATTGTGAGTTCATTTTCTCTTATTTCAAATTAAAAATCTTTTCCTATTTTAATGTTTTTGTGTTCTAAGAAGTATTTCTCAATGTAAGTTATGAAAATACTATTTCATTTGTCTTCTAGAAGCTTTACTACTGCTAACCATGAACATTTGCATCACCAGTAAATCTGAAATTGATCTGAGCCTACAGTGTGAGATAGGTTTAAGTTTCCAGGTGTTTGTTTTCTTTGGGTGTCCAAATGATTCACTTATTTTAGCTAAATTGCGCGTTTATCTTTTGTTACAAATTGAGTTTTTCCCCATGGGTCAATATATCTAATATTTGCCTGACTGTAGCATCTTCACTACTACAGCTTTGCACTAGGTGTCAGCCTTCGGACTGTGTCCTTCTACTCTGTTCCTCATTACTATTTTAGCAAGTTTTGGTCCTTTGTGAAAAACTACCACTTATACTTTTAAAATATTGTCAATGTTCAAATTTAAAACTGTACACTAAAGCTAAAAAAAAAAAACCCAATTTGATTACTAATGTCATAAAGCTATCTTTACTTCATGAGTATCATACAATCCTTTCTTGGGCTGACAAGTAACACTCAGTGGTTCTCTATATTGGTATCTTGAGCACCTATTAAAGTTGTGAGACGTTTGATAAAGTAGTTATTGGTTGTGGTCTTAAAATGTCCTCCTCAGGCTCATGCTTGAACACTTGGTTCCCAGCTGGTAACACTGCTTGGCAAAAGTGTAAACTTTTGGGAGGCTGAGCATTCCTAGAGAAAGTGGGTCACTGGAGGGACAGGTCCTGAGGATCTACAGCCTGGCTTTACTCTCTGCTTTCTAGACAGAGATGCAACGAGACCAGTCATGTGACCAATCAGACTGCTCTTTCTTCTCCCTCAAATTGCCTGAGTCAGCACAGTACATCACAGAATCAGCAGGGTAACTAAGATACTATTGGAAACAGTATCAGCGTAACCTCTTCATTTCCTGACTCAGAGGAAAACCATTTCTAGGTAATGATAACATATTTAGAACACTTATTAAACTTACTTAATTCCAACCTATTACTAACCCATGGTTTATTAATTCTAACATCCTGCTAATCTTCATGATTTATGATCAGATTTTCTTCCCTCTAGATACATAACAATGTCACCTACAACTGACTTCTTAATTTCCTACTTTTTTAAAAAAGATTTTATTTATTTTATGTATATGAGTACACTGTAGCTGTCTTCAGACAGACCACATGAGGGCATCGGATCCCATTACAGATGGCTATGAGCTACCATGTGGTTGCTGGGAATTGAACTCAGGACCTCTGGAAGAGCAATCAGTGCTCTTAACCACTGAGCCATCGCTCCAGCCCCATTTGATTCTTTTTAATACTTGTGTGTTTTATTTCCTTTTTCTTGCATTTATCTACTGGCTAGGCATAGAACAATATTAAAATGTCGTGATTCATACCAAGTATCTTTTGTCTTTTGCATGATGCTAACTTTTGAAGAGTGTGGATCTTAAGCTTGTAAGTAAAGATGTACTGTGAAATGTTTACACTGTGATAAATGTCAGCAGGAACATAAAAGAAACAAATTTGTTGAGAAGATAGGGAAAGTTATAGCTGACTTTAGACAAGGCTAATACTGTGGCAAGTCACAAGAAAGTAAGTATTCATGTACTTTTCACTTCATTGAGGTCAGGCTAAAAATAAATAGGGCTATATTAATGTAACATACCACCTATGTGGAGTCAGGCTGCAGGAGACTATATCACAGCTTGGTCATAAAGCATGCTTTTGTGGTCAGTCATTCCCTAAGTAGTCACCACTAAGTGAGAATATATATACCTCTCTTGTTTGTTTATTGGGTTTGAGACAGGATCTCTCTATTACGAAGCCCTAGCTGTCTTGGAATTTGCTATGTAGACCAGGCTGGTCTTGAACTACAGAGATCTACCTGCTTCCCAAGTGCTGGGATTAAAGGCACACACCACCACTTCAGGCTATAATTAGTATTTTTAAAGATCAATGTTATTTTTCTCACAGTTTAGATGATTGAAAAAATTGATTCCTGTTTTGTTTGTTTTGAAGATAGGATCTCAATATCCCTCCCTCCTCCTTCCTCTCCCGCCCCCCCACCCCCGCCACAGACAGACAGAAAGAGACAGAGACTGTGTCACCATTCTCAGATTTTAAAGTTTTATATTTTGAAAGTGGATTAATCATTTACATACTATAATTTCAAGTCTATTAATATTTTTCCCAGCCTTTTCTTACAGCTCTTAGCTTGAAATGGTGTTAAGAAGGTTGGTTCACGGCCAGGCATTGGTGTCTTTTAATCCCAGCACTTGGGAGGCAGAGGCAGGCAGATTTCTGAGTTTGAGGCCAGCCTGGTCTACAGAGTGAGTTCCAGGACAGCCAGGGCTACACAGAGAAACCCTGTCTGGAAAAAAACAAAACAAAAACAAAAAAAAAAAAAAGGAGGTTGGTTCAACAGGGGGCTGGAGACAGTAAAAACTATTCAAACTATTGGCTGCTCTTCTAGACAACTGGGATTCAGTTCCCAGAATGCACATAGTGGTTCACACCGTCCAGTACCAGGGAATCCGATGTCATTTTCTGGCCTCTACATTTGATTCAGACATGCATAGAGGCAAAATTCATGTATGTAAAAACATGGAGAAAAAGTGTTCAATAATTTTTACGAAGTTTTGTCATCTAGTTTTTATTTTGTTCTCCATGGCAGTATCAGGGGCAGCATGTGGCACGTATCTAACCTAAGGGACCACTGTGCAGAACAGATACAAAGAAAGCAGACGCCACAGCTCAGATACTGACAGGCAGTGACAAGTGGAGATTTTGGTAGAGAAACAGGAGACTAGAAGCTGTGTCACACAGTGAAAAAACTGGAGCACAGAAGAAAAGGAGAGGCTAGCGAGGAGGAGGGGGCACACAACAAAGAGAAGAGGTGAACTAATTTCTGTAGACTCACCCAGAGCTATGACCATTTCTCATCAGAGAAGCGCTGCGTTTTTAACCAAGTGCCTTAAGAACTCCGCTGCCCTGCTATCAGTATTAGTCAGTAAGTTACGTAAGGGAGACTGCAGATTCTATTTCCTAGGGAAACAGTCTCCTCAGAAAAAAAGAAGAGGATTTTTCTCTTTGTCCTCTTTTTATGAGACATAGCCACTTGGAGTTCCAATTTTTGCAGAAGTACCAGTTTCAATGTCCATTCCTTTCACGCATGCATGACAATTATAAACCCCTAGCTATTACCAGTTGACAAACAAACTTAAAATGCAGGGTTACCGCAGCATCTGTTTACATTACAGCTTCTGGAAAAGTACAGCCCTAATTTTCTTTGAGCAAGAACTCACAGGGCACCAATTAGAATCTAGCTATATTTTCCCTGCACTTTGTAGCAGGAAGGTTTTAAACATTAGTTAAATTACATCTTTGAAAAAACACTTTTCCAAGGGAACTTAGTAAGTCTACAACCCGTAAAAGTTCTCACTATTACAGCAGTAAGTCCTGATCTACCTTTTCCTCGCCTTCAGATCCTGATATGGATCTGACAGGGGTGAAGGCATCCAGGAATCAGACAACCCAGCAACTGTCTTGAAAGTATGGAAAAGGGAAGTATCAAAAGCTCAGCTCTCACCTTAGATAGGAACTGGAAAGAAAAGCCCAAACATTCCACAAACACTAATGCCTACCACATTCTTATTAATCACTTATGAATTTAACAATACTTCCTAAAACCATTTATACTTTCAAATCCCTTCTCTAGCCACGCAAACTATACCGTTGACCAATAAGTAGATAAATATGTCGCATAAGCATACAATGTGTTCCTTACACTGCATTTTCTATTGTCCAGTCTGAATTTAGATTATAAAAAGGGGCCAGCCGGATGGCGTGATATGACAATCTAATGAAGACATAAAAACTCTTCTGCTCAGAGAGGTTTGATGGACCTTATTTAGATCACCAGATCCTACAAAGTGCCAAGAGAAAACACACTCCCAAGAACTGTCCTCTGCCCTCACATGCTTAGTATCGCATGTGCAAGTCTGCAGCCATACATATATGCATGCATGCACAAACACAAACTATAAAGAATTTTAGCAGACCCTTACCTGATGGTCTTGAATCTTTCTGCCCACCACTCTGAATGTGTTGCTGCCTGTATGGTGATATATATGTACTCTGCTGAACCCAGTTGAGCCACCAGCTGGTACCCACTTCTTATTGGCATCATCATAAACCATCACAGCAGCTCTTGCCTGACAGATACTTTGCTCACTGTAAAAAATAAAATTCAAATGAGATATTTAAAATATGCTAGGAATGCCACAGAACCATAAGCCAGGGTTAAGCCAACTTATCAGTTAGCAATCAACTCCTGTTGGTGAAGTCTAATGGGAAAAACAAAAGCAACATAGAATACGGATAGTGTGGGATCCATAAAAACACAAAGAACACCAGAAGTATTTCATTCTAAATGTATCTAACTTATTATCACCTTGAATATATCTATTAATACTAAGTTAATCACCACTTTTTTTGGGGGGGGGCAGGTTTCGAGACAGGGTTTCTCTGTGTAGCCCTGGCTATCCTGGAACTCACTCTATAGACCAGGCTGGCCTCGAACTCAGAAATCTGCCTGCCTCTGCCTACCAAGTGCTGAGATTAAAGGCGTGCGCCACCACTGCCCAGCTCATTTGTTTTAATATATGATGGTGACCTGACATTTTTTTGACAAAACTACTTCTTAAAAATAAAAAAAAAATATTTATGTATGTGAGTACACTGTCACTCTTCTCAGACATACCAGAAGAGGGCATCGGATCCCATTACAGATGGTTGTGAGCCACCATGTGGTTGCTGGGAATTGAACTCAGGACCACTGGAAGAGCAACCAGTGCTCTTAACCACTGAGACATCTCTCCAGCCTGACAAAATTATTTTATCATTAAGATCACTTCAAGGTCTCAAACAAATTCAGACATTGCAGTATCTATTCTTCAAACAGGGAGTTGAAACTAACAGTCAATGGCGGGCGATATGATCAACTCCTTTCAATCCCTTTAGTCAAGTTACTATCTTATAAATAAGGGGCTGGAGGGAAAACTCAGGATTGAGAGAGCTTACTGCTCTTGCAGAGAACACAACTTTGAGATTCAGCTTCCAGACTAGATAGCCCACAACTACCTGTAATTCCTGCTCCAGGAGACTGGATGCCTCTGTCTTCCATGAGTACCTGCACTCACAAGTACATGTATGCATACGAGCACACGTGCACGTGCGTGCTTAAACACAACTAAAAGTTTAAAAGATGATTTCTAAGGATGCTATTAGATTGAAAACCCCCTTCTCTGCATATAAATAATAAAAAAGGAAAAGACCAGAATTTGTGGTTGCTATCTATCCCAATTATGTGAAACTAATATGAGATAGGCAAGCAAAATAGAAACAAGGTCAATTTCTTACTGAATAATACATACACCTTTCAAATATTCTCTAATGTTCTTGGGGAAAAACCTGGTTGTAACCTTATCCTATGCCATAGTTTCTCTTTACTATCATTTATCAAGAGAACATTAAAACAAGCACACTACTGACTACAAACCTGGTTAAACACAGCTTCTAGACCAGTGGTTCTCAATCTGTGGGTCACAACCCCATATCAGATAGCCTTCATATATCAGATATTTATAGTATGATTCATAACAGTAGCAAAGTTAGTTAGGAAGTAGCATCGACACAATTTTATAGTTGGGAGGGTCACCAAACATGAAGAACGTTGAGAACAGCTGGTCTGGAAGGCTAAGCCTACATGTGAGTGGTTAATATAGATGCTTCTAAACAGTTCATGCACCCCCATCTCATCTGTAAAGAAAGCGCTTGTTCAGTCTACCAGTTCCTGCCTCAAGAGATTTTGGACAATCCATGACATGCTTTTCCTAATCCCCCTCAGAAATAGTTCCCCCACACTCCCGCCTTACTTATGCCTCTCTCATTCATGGAAGGATGATGAGCACAGCTCTGTAGGAGGGGGTTGTGTTGCCTTGATGACAAGATCATGAGAAACCTAAAGAAATCACTGCACTGAACAATAAACTTACTTTGGAGAAATTAGAATTGTTCTAATTTTCCATTACAGAAATCCTACAGAACCTAAGCTATAAACAACAATGGTGTAGTAAGTCCTTCGGTGCTGTCTCAAATTACTTTTGTTGTCTAGAAATTTTCAGAGACTAGAAACAAGTCAATGACTAAAGCTTGAATTATTTTTTTTAGAGAGCATTATTTTAAAGGTATTTGTCAGTACAACAGTTGAAGACTCATTACTCACCATAGAAACACGTACTAAATGACAACTTTTATATAACGAAGATGACTGAAATTAGCAAAAGGTCAGTGCTTCTTACAGCTTTTAGCTGCAGAAACTGATTTAATATGAAATGAAAAAATAAACCTTCAAATTAATTCAAAACTTTTATCGTCCAGTGTTCAAAAATTATTAGCCAGGCATAGTAGCACATGCCTTAATCCTGGCAACTCAAGAGGCAAAGATGGGCTGGGCAGTGGTGGTGTACACCTTTAATCCCAGCACTTGGGAGGCAGAGGCAGGTGGATTTCTGAGTTTTAGGCCAGCCTGGTCTACAGAGTGAGTTCCAGGGCTACACAGAGAAACCCTGTCTTGAAACCCCCCCCCCCCCAAAAAAAGGCAAAGATGGATCTCTGTGAGTTCAAGGCCAGCTAGGGCTATAAAAGATCACTTAAAAAAAAAAAAAGCATTTCAGGAGGTCTTGAAAAAGCCTGATGACTTGAAATAGATGAAACACCTGTAATTCCAGCAATCTCATGGGAGATACAAAATTAAGGAGGTTCACACAGGCTCATAGACCAGCTAGAACTCATCCACCAACTCTAAACACAGATGTGATACACAATTAAGCCATTAAATTATGTTGCCATTGATTGCCATTAAAAGATAGCAATCAAGTTTTTTTTTATTTCATGGACCTACCTAAAAACTTAAAAAACAGATCGGATTAATCAATATAGAACAGGATATCAATGTTTTGGTCTGTTATCAACTGGAGTAGATTTTATTTATTTTATGTATATGAGTACGCTGCAGCTATTTTCAGCCACACCAGAAGAGGGCATCAGATCTCATTATAAATGGTTGTGAGCCACCATGTGGTTGCTGAAAATTGAACTCAGGACCTCTGGAAGGGCAGTCAGTGCTCTTAATCACTGAGCCACCACACCAGCCTCAATCACTAGTTGTTAGAATGAGGATTTTGTTTTTTGTTTTTCCAAACCCTGGCTGTCCTGTGGACCATGACGGCTTCAAACTCCCAAAGATCTGCCTGCATCTGCCTCCTGAGTGTCGGGATTAAAAACATACACTATGGCTTGGCTCAGGATTTTTTTTAAACAGAAAAATAGGTATAAAAGAGCTAGAGAGATGGCTCAGCAAGAAAGAGCACTGGCCGCTCTTCCAGAAGAGCCTAATTCCATTGCCAGTACCACACAGTGGCTTACTACTGTCTGTAACTCTAGTCTTGGAATCTGATGCTCTCTTCTGACCTCTGCAAGTACCAGGCACACATGTGGTACACACATATATACATAGGCAAAACACCATATACATAAGCAAAACATTAGTTTCCCAGATATTGCATTGTCCGTGTTTGTATTTTCACTCTGTTTTAGTCTATTCCAGTGAAACTGTCAAAGACCTGCTTTAAGATAGACAACACTGTCAGGTATGGTGGGCAGTACATACCTATAATCCTAACACTCAGGAGGCTAAGTATAGGAAGAGCCAAGATTCAAAGTCAGTCTGGTTATAGAGAAAAACTTAGCTAATGGTGGCTGTTCTCAGCCACACAGAAAGTATTGCTGGTATATATTCGAGAACAGAACAATCCATCTTTATATGCAACCATGGCAAGCCTCAAAATTAAAACTTGTCAAAGTCTTCCTATTTCTGAATCTGTGAAACAATTATGGAAAAAGAAAAAATGAGTAAACTACTAAACTGTGGTTTTGTAAAGACTGGATACTTTACAGTCATAAACAAAACCCCATCTTTATGATGTAATGTAACTAGTGTACAGACTTCATTATACTTCATGTTCCTAATGTTAATTTTGGTATTTACCAGTGAAGTATAGCATTAAAATGCTTACCACCTCCGACATACACAGTCTAAGGAAACACGACACTATTTTATGTATAGTTTTATAGCTTAGTCAGGAAATTCACTTCTGAATATAGTTAAATTTCCCAAAAGTACTTATATATTATGGTAAAGAATGCTCACCAAGCTGGGCAGTGGTGGCACACGCCTTTAATCCCAGCACTTGGGAGGCAGAGGCAGGCAGATTTCTGAGTTCAAGGCCAGCCTGGTCTACAGAGTGAGTTCCAGGACAGCCAGGGCTATACAGAGAAACCCTGTCTCGAAAAAAACAAAACAAAAAAACAAAAAACAAACAAAAAAGAATGCTCACCAAAAACAGGTACCAGTAAATGAAATGTTCCTTATATTTAAGGAAAAAAAGAACTTCTTGTAGATACTATGTATTGATGATTCTCTAAAAAACAGCAATTCCCTGTCAAAGATACAAGTCACAGATCATTTGTCAAAGGAAGTGTAAACATCAGTGCTCACGCACAGTAGGTATCCTTAAATGCTGTTCAGTAAATAAATGCATCTAACAAAATCTAAATCATCAAAAACAAGAATCTAATGCTTTTCCTTTTGTTAAGACTTCTTAGGGTCCTCAAAGCCATCATTCATTGCTTCCTTTTGCATTCCTCCAATGAGATTCTCTGGGGAGGTAGCATTTGAACCATAGGAAGGAGACAGGAAAAATACTGATGGGCTTAAAGTAGAACATGACTTACGTTTTTAAAAACATGACTCTGGCTACCATGAACTAAAATGACTGCGGAAGGTGACCAGGAAATGAGGGACAGAAGCAAGGACACTACTAGACTGGACAACAGGAGAGGAATGCATGGGATGCTGGAAGATTATCACAAAGGACACAAACTATGAACAAAACTACCGTATTACAGTGTTCCTGCTGAGAAAACTGTCTTGACCTGAGCTCCTTTACTAGGTCCAAAAGACCAGTTCACACAAAAATGGAGTCCTTAATGCTAAATGCCACACAATCAAATTGGAGCTTTAAGTACACAGATCCTCAGACAACAGTTAAGTTTCTCTGCCTGTCCCCGCCCCCCTCTCACACAAGGGGTCCATATCTTCTACTGCTCAG